ACATTGGGGGGGGTGCAGCTAGCTCCTTGAAATGAGTTTCTGCATGTTGAGATGTCTGTACTCTGTACTGTATAGCAAATCATCCATTGAATTATACAGGAATATTGCTATTCAGTAAGCAGAGTATACCCTTACTGTACTTTGAGGATCCAACCCCTGTGTTGTTTTACCTTTTACAAATATTTGTGATACTCCAGAGAGCCACAACTATTTAACTATGGCTTAATAATACACACATTGTGACACAATTTTGCCTGCTTTTTTGGATGGCTGAATAAACCCACATTATCTACATATTTTTTATGGGGAGGAGGGGGTGTAGTTGCACCTTAGAATTCTGTACCTTCAGGCACCAGACATATAAATCCAGCCCTGCTGGGGCTCTCAGCTTGCCTAGGTTAGCCAGCATGAGTCCCGGATCCTGTGCTCTCCTACAACGCCTAAGCACCACATGTGCAAGCAGCACATGCACGTGTACGTGTATTTAATGTTCTGGGTGTATGTTGTCTATATCTGTATAGGAGAGGACTTGCATTTCCTTGTATTTTTACTGTATGTATGTTTTAGTTTTTTTTAAATTGGTTACACATACACAATGATCAGATTGACATACTAATTACATATTTTGGTCCGGAATCTAATATTCACCAGCAACTGAAAAGCTGAAATAAAATCAGTTTATGTGCCTATTACCTGTTTCATTCATTCGTAATGTGGTCATAATTCTGTGCTAGGTAAATGTTCGGTTCATATATTTTTTTAAATCGAATTTATCCAAAAATTAGGTGCCCTGTACAGAAACAAACCCTGCCTAAGCCCTACAGTAAAGGGAAAGATTGTACAGCAAATGCTGATGCCAATCATTGATTATGGAGATGTAGTACATGCACCTGCACCGCAAACCCACCTTAATAAACTAGATACATTGTACAATGTTGTACAATGTAATTACAGGACATGCTCAAAGAAATAAACTGGTTGTCGCTGGAATCCAGACGCACCCTTCATCTTTCCAGCCTTGTGTTTAAGAGCTTTTCTGGGAACTCCCACCCTACCTGAGCAGAATGCTCTCCCCAGCTGTTCCAGACAATTGATCCCCTGGGCACCGTTTAGTAACATAGAAACAGAGAATGTGACGGCAGATAAGAACCATTCGGCCCATCTAGTAGATCTCCCTTTTTTTTTTAAGTTATACTTTTTGTTTGAATATCCCTTTTTATCCTTAGATTGATTAAAGGTAGGGCCCCCTTCCTCATTTCTTATACAGTGGAGCTCTCCTGATGTTAGTTTCCCCTTGTGGGATGCTATACATCACCTACTCCTATTTCCTATAATTTTTCAATGTAGTGTAATAACAAGGATACATCTTTTTTTTTTTTGTATTTCAGACTTGTTTCTGCCCTGCAAACATTTTTATTACTTGTGTAGAGCGGGCATTGGTGAATGGTGCAATGTCATCATCAATATGTTGCAGTTGTGTTAGTCTTATTGTCCCTCCCACCGGGTCCCCCCCGTCTCTATGTAATTCTTAGCATAGTTTTTTTCTGTCCACTCTGTGCATCAAGTCTAAGAGAGAGCGAGAGCCTCCTATGTCATTTATCATTTCAATGTTTTGTTATTCTGTTTATCTGTCTGCCCGGTTTAGGGTTATATTTCTCCCAAGTCAGGTCACTGTGTGGAGCATCGAAGGCCTAGTATTTCATCCAGTTTTTTTATCCATATATCCCAATCTTCTATTTGCTTGTATCTGTTTCCCAAGTTAACAAGATACCCCTTTCCATTCTTGCTTGCCATGTTACTTGTTTTATCAGTTTGTTGATATTTGGAATTGTCTCGGTTTTCCAATTTTCCAATTTATAACAACATTGTCGTTTTTTTTTTGTTTCTGGCCAGTGCAAATTTAGTAAAACCATTTCAGGTTTACAGGTAGTTTTATTTCGGTTATTTGATGGATAATCTTGATTGCATCTTTCCAACACTTATTTATAGGTGTGCACTGCCACCAACTATGGATCATATTACCTTCCCCAATATTGCATTTCCAGCATCTGTCTGGTAGCTCTGGGAAGATTCCGTTTAGGTGTTAAGTACCATCTATTTGATAGTTTAAATTGGGTTTCTATAGGATTTAGACAGTGTATGTTTTCATTTAGTTTGTTTAAGGAATTTATCCATTGTTCTTCTTCTATAGGTACTTGTGATTCTTTTTCCCATTTGTTAATCAATGCTATCGGTTTGTCATGTCTCCATCTATATACTACTTTAGCACACGATCCAAGGATAAATCTGACTGCCATTCCTGGGTCAAGAAGGAATTTTGTTTCCTAGTTTGTTGCAAATTTTTTTAACCTTTTTTTGGATCAACAGCAAAAAACAAATGTGAGGAAGGTTAAACTTGATGGACTCAAGTCTCTTTTTAGCTATGTAACTATGTTACTATGTAACTATGTAAAATATATGCATTATATATGTATAATATATTATAAAATGCTTTAATTATTTTATAATATATTATACAAATATAGTAAATAAAAACATGTGTGTGTGTGTGTATATATATATATATATATATATATATATATACACACACACACACACATATTATATATATATATATATAAACTAGATAAAATAGATAGGGGCTGATCCAGATGTCCCAATGATACTGGTGATACTGGGGGCTAGTGGATTAGGTTCAAAAGTGCCCCATGTTACTCTACTAGAGGTTGGGAAAATGACTCACGGAATGCCAAATAGACAGGAGTGGACTATAAGTCCTGATTGGGAGAGTAACACAAAATATAGAGAAGGGAATCGCTACATTTAATAGTCCTAAGGAAAAACTGGAATATAAGCAAAAAAGAGAGAGAAAGAAAAGTATATATGTAATATGTGTACGTATATAACAGAATAGAACAAATATCTATAGATATCCAGCTAGGTTAGCTAAGATAAACATAGCTACTAGTAGGGTCTAAGTCTAAACTAAGCATTGTGTGTGTCTGTTAGTGTGTGTGTCTGACTGTCTGTTAGTGTGTATGTGTGTGTCTGACTGTGTGTCAGTGAGTGTGTGTGTGTCTGCTAGTGAGTGTGTTTGCCTGACTGTGTGAGTGTGCTTGCCTGTGAGTGTGTGTGTCTGTTAGTGAGTGTGAGTATGTCTGTTAGTGTGTGTGTGTGTTTCTGTTAGCGAGTGTATGTGTATCTGTCAGTGAATGTGTGTGTGTGTATTTAGAAGGCGGAGCGGGGGGAAGGATTGGGGGGGCTGGCGCAGGGGGGCTAGCGCGGGGAGGGAGGGGCGCCTGAGTTTTGTCCTGCCTAGGGCAGCACAAAACCAGGATACACCACTGTATTAACCCACTATTGAGGAAGACATGCCTGACTTTTTTATTATCTAGTGAGTTTTCTACTATCCCATAGCCCCTTGCTTGTCCTTATTGTATGGCACTATATTTTTCTTTTGTTCTCCTAGATATACAGTGTTTATGGTATACCCTACTGATTACTGTACAGGTTGTACGATTTGTTGCCACTCCTCCTTTTGGTTTTTCTTTGTAATTTTGTATTTTCTGAGTGTCTTAAGGGAACACTTTTACCTAAGGATTTCTGTGTGTCTCAGAGCATATAGTGACTATTATTCTTTCTTTGTATCTAAGTATGTTACAAACAGTTTGCAAAGAGGCTAATAAATTAACCTTTGCATGTCAAATATAACGGAATCATTGTTTAAACAAATAGAAAAATACATACAGATATCCAATTGAATATAGATAGAAGGTCTTAGTGAAAGGCTCATTGAGAATAAATCGCTTCTATGGCCGCTATTTGCCGCTATTTGCGAGTTTTGTGCTTTATCCTTTTTCAGTACAGTCACTCTATCACTTGCTACATGCTAGTATTCCCGACTGTAACATATGTTGCACTTTCAACTGTGCAGTTATACTTCTTACTGCAGTTCAGTGTCAGTGGCTTCCAGCGCCTGTCAGTTTATTCTAGTATTCACCTAGAACCTAGATTGTTTTAGAGGTATTTTTAGACATATTACCTCTTTAGATCACAATATTGGGAGGCTTGTAGGCTAAACTACTTTACCTTATTTAGTAGATCTATCTTTCCTACTCTATATTTCCTTTATTCGTTAGGAATATAGGTAGGCTATTTCTCTGCATTTGGCAGATCCTCCCTTTGTGGTGTATTATCCATTTTTCTATGTGTTTTCCCCTGTTGGTGGGTGTTTATTTATTTTATCTATCCCATCTTTGAAACCTGTATTTATTAAAGGTTAAGTTTTACTTTTTGTTCAGTCATATCCTGACTGAACTAGGTACCTTTTCACTTACACCAGTATTACCATTCAATTATATACATATATATGTAGAGATTGTTGCCGTATTAGTCCAGTGATGTAGATGTAAAAAACAGATAAAATTCATATCTTGTAATACCTTTTTTATTGGATTAACAGAATTTTTTTTAATGACAAGCTTTCGGGAGAACCTCCCTTTCTCAAGTCTGAAGCATTTCTGAGCAAGATTCTATGTGTCGTCTTGCTCAGAAATGCTTCAGACTTGAGAAAGGGAGGTTCTCCCGAAAGCTTGTCATTAAAAAATTCTGTTAGTCCAATAAAAAAGTTATTACAAGATAAGAATTGTATCTGTTTTTTACATATATATATATATATATATATATTTATTTATTTATTTTCTTTTATTTTTTTGATACTCAGCAATCTAATTTTTTCTTTTTGTGCTTTATATCCACCAGTCATTCAAGTATTCGTTATCAACACTAGTTTAAGTTTCTAACTGAAAGTAAAATTGGTAATTAAGAAGACCTGCGTTATACACTCATGCTGTTCTGAAACTATGTCTCATTGGAAAAGAGTATCAGACTAGAAGTAATTCTAACCACTTCCTATTCTAAATGGTTTCTGAAATCGTCTGTGATTTCCTGGCAAAAAAGGATAACCTTACACCTGCACATGTTGTACTAATGTGTCCACTATACACTGAAGGCTAGGAGATCATCACTTACTTTTAGCCCGTTTTTAATGTTTGGCTTCCAGATTTGAACAAAGAACAAATTGGTAGTTTGTGTGTCAACATAGACTATACATACTTTGTCTTCAGGAAATGACACGTGTTGTGAATTGTCTCTTGCTTGTGGTTGTACTGACAGGTCTCTTGCAGGTCTCATCTGCTAATAAAAAAGGTAAGTGCATATACAACTTGTTTAAAGCATAATCATTGACCTTAATTGTGGTTTATCTCTTTCTAAGAAACGAAGATAAGAAAACGTGGTGTTTCAAAGAAGGTTTAAACATTGAGTACACAGTAATATTAAATATTTAATTTGAATTGAAAAGAAAACAAGAAAATGCGTCACAATTTTACTTTAAGTGGGTCATTGTAGAAGCATGTCTTAGTTCACCTGAGCAAGAAGAGCATTCTTCTATTAATTACAAGTATGAAAACCACGTTGGAGTATTAAAAGGAACATAATAAGATTCAGAAAATATAAAGTAATCAGCAGCGCACAAAAAAAACATATGTATATCACTATCATACCTGGGTCTGTTGGGTATATCAATAGTGGACATCAAGAATTCCTCCAGCAACCAGTAAAACTGTAACACCCCTATAGTCTGGCCGATCACGATGGCCCATGTAGTTTTTTAAAAAGGTGGAAGGCTATGTTATCTAACCTTTTCTATGTGCTATTCTCTAAATAGTGATTCAGTCATTTTAAAATAAATGTTCAGTTAGGTCAGATACTCTTCATTTCACTAAGATGTTTTATGGTTAGCTATAATCTTTAATTCCATAATGTGTTGTGGCTTTCTATGTTTGGCTCCGTTTTTGTCTCTTTATAAATAAATAAGGGATTTTTCGTGTATATTCATCTTATGCATTTCTTTGATTCAAACATTTATGGAACGATTAAGCATACAGCTGTAGTACTGGGCAACGTCTATTTAATTGATGTGCAGTATAGCTAAAAAACATTTTAGGGACACAATCCCTTTCTCAATTTATAATTTACTTAATGATAACATATACTTACTGTGAAAAAAGTTTAATTTACCTTTTCCGCTCATCCTAATGCTGCTTACAGTCCATCGATTTGGGCTTTATTGAATCCAGCCTGATGCTTATATACTTTGTGGAGTTTTATCCATTGTAACTGTTACCAGGTACACCAGCAAACTGGCACAATAGAAAGTAATGAATAATGGAACCCTCCACGAAAAGTTGTATGTTGGTGAATAGGGCATGTTACATACAACAATTCTCTTACAACGCTTTTTCATGAATTATGAATTGTACAGTCCTCTTATTGTTCATTTTTATTTAGCAAAATATCAGAGATTTAGGGTAAACCACATAAATAAACATGTCATAATACAGGACTTTAAGTATATCATGTTTAAAGAGAGCATTAAAGGATTATGTCTCAGACAGCGAGCGCGGTTCTATATGGCCCTGCTTTGCAGGATTTTCCTGATGGAAGTGTAGGTGATGCAACCAATGCTCCCTCTAATCTTTCATTTTTGTGCGAATAATTAGATTTTTTCCCGATCCAAAGGTTTGTGCGCACTTTATGTGCAAATGTAAACCTGAAATTGATTCTTGATAATATTGTTTCAGAGCAGCCTCGTTCTCATTGTTTAGTTTTACTGTTTGATAATGTAGTATAAGTAGTTACACAACAGTTTTACTGTATTGTCAGCCATTCAAACAGACAAGCCTTTCTGCTAATACCTCTTTTGTTCATTCAGTCAAACCATAAAAAGCAATAGGGGGAAACTGCACATACCAGGGTACACACAATTAAAAAGCATTTACAGGATAATTTCCAGTTTGTTGCTTACTTCACCACACAGCTTCAGCCTCACCTTCACCACAGTAAATAGCAATTTAATCCAGAAAAAAACTGGCCAAAAATATAATATTGGTAGCTTGTTGACTGTGTTTGGGCAAACATGTTAATTCCCTAACCTGGGCAAAAACAGTGAATGAAGTCCAATGAATGGTGATATTTACATAATAAATGCTTCTTACCCATAAATCAAATTTAGCTGTCAGCTGGCACAATTATAGCAAACATTATATGGAAAAGAGCTCTTTGCTAAAAAAAATAATTGTGAGATATACATTGATGCTTCTTAAAACAAATAAAAAATAATCTTGATATGATGGGATATGTCAGAGGCATATAGGAGAAACAAACAACCCAATCCAACAGACACAAATAGCAAACATTATCTGGAGAAATTCCAACCACAAATTTTTCAAAAGGAAGTTTTTGCCCAATGAATAGTGACATATACATTAATGCTTCTTAAAAACACTGTCACACACACTGACAGACACACTCACTGACAGACACACACTTATATATTCTTGCACACACAGACACAAATTAATTTTATTTTTTGTTTTATTTTATTTTGTTATGCCCATCCAGCCTCCCTACCTTTAGGAGAGCTGATGTGGGCCTCACCCTGTAGTCCAGTTAAGAACTTCTCCCTGAAGTCCAGAGGGGATTTTCTCCCTAGGGTCAGTGAGGATCTTCTCCCTGGGGTCCGGTAAGAATCTTCTCCATGGAGTCGAATGGGGATTGTCTCCTTGTGGTCCAATGGGGATTGTCTCCCTGGGGTCCAGTGGGGATCATCCCCCTGGGATTCAGTGGGGATCGTCTCCTTTTTTTTTTTTTAGGAGTTAATTTTTTTGTGATTTTTTTTTTTGTGAAACCCAAAAGCTCTTTTCAGAGCTATTAGCCCCTATCCTGCCAGTGATACCCAATGTAAAGCGCTGCAGAATTTGATAGCTCTATATAAATATCATAATAATAAAATAATAATCGTCTCCCTGTGGTCCAGTGGAAATTGTCTCCCCGGGGTCCAGTGGGGATCGTCTCCTTGGGGTCCAGTGGGGATCATCTCCCTGGGGTCCAGTGGGGATCTTCCCCCAGGGGTCCAGTCGGGATTGTCTCCCTGGGGTCCAGTGGGGATCATCTCCCTGGGGCCATTAGGGATCGTCTCCCTGTTGTCCAGTGGGGATCGTCTCCCTGGGATCCAGTGAAGAATGGATCTTCCATTTCCTCTATGCTCCTTTGGGTGCCCTTTGTAGTTATGCCTGGGCCAGACTTACATCATATTCCGGCACCCGGCATTACTACAGGGGGCGTGCAAGGGAGCAGAGATAAACTGGAAACATGCCATCAAATCTCCCTCATCGCACCTGCCAGAAGCCTCCTCTCTGCCTCCCTCTTTGTGAATGCCCTAATGTCAACAGGCCACCTCCTGAGCTCCCTGGAGCAGTCATTGATTTGCTTCTTGCAAAGCTCCTCATCATCTGGCAGGTGCCACAGGGAGCCGTGCGCAGCGTCTGACTCTCTGTGCGTTCCCTCGAAAAAAGGTTGTGTGGGTGCATACGCACACGCATTAGAGGGAACAGTGGATGCAGCCACGAGTACCCAACAAACCGTTTAATATCTTACTGTGTAAAAGCACCAGGACACTTCTAGCACCACAGTTACTACTAGGGATCGACCGATATTGATTTTTTAGAGCCGATACCGATACCGATATTCTGTGAACTTTCAGGCCGATAGCCGATATAATTTGCCGATATTCTGTACATTTACCATTTTGGAAAATAAAAACTATTTCTAAAGGTAAATGCACAAAATATACATGCAACGTGCAGTGGATGCAGTGTGACAGGGGAGCTGTGTGTGTGTGTTTGTGTAGTGGATGCAGTGTGTGTTTGTGTAGTGTGTGTGTTGTGGATGCAGTGTGTGGAGGATGCAATGTGTGTTTGTGTAGGGGATGCAGTGTGTATTTGTCTAGTGTGTGTAGTGGATGCAGTGTGTATTAGTGTAGTGTGTATATAATGAAAGCAGAGTGTGTGGGTAGTGTGCGTAAAGTGAATGCTGTATATACTAAATTCAAAGTGTGTGTGTATATAATGAATGCAGAGTGTGTGTGTATTTGTGTAGTGTGTGTATAGTGAATGTAGTGTGTTTATATAATGCAGAGTGTGTGTATATAATGCAGTGTGTTTGTGAAGTGTGCATTATATAAACACACTACACAAACACTGCATTATATAAACACTACACAAACACACACACTGCATTATATACACACTACACAAACACACACTGCACAAACACACTACACAAACACACTGCATTATATACAAAACACACTACTACACAAACACACACTGCATTATATAAACACACTACACAAACACACACTGCATTATATAAACACACTACACAAACACACACTGCATTATACACACACTATAAAAACACACACACTGCATTAGATACACACACACTGAATTATATACACACACTACACAAACACACACTGCATTATATAAACACACTACACAAACACACACTGCATTATACACACACTATAAAAACACACACACTGCATTAGATACACACACACTGAATTATATACACACACTACACAAACACACACTGCATTATATAAACACACTACACAAACACACACTGCATTATACACACACACTATACAAACACACACTCTGCATTATATACACACACACTATACAAACACACTGAATTATATACACACACTATACAAACACACACTGCATTATATAAACACACTACACAAACACACACTGCATTATACACACACACTATACAAACACACACACTGCATTATATACACACACACACTATACAAACACACTGAATTATATACACACACACACTATACAAACACACTGAATTATATACACACACTACACAAACACACACTGCATTATATAAACACACTACACAAACACACACTGCATTATATAAACACACTACACAAACACACACTGCATTATACACACACACTATACAAACACACACACTGCATTATATACACAGTGTGTTTGTATAGTGTGTGTATATAATGCAGTGTATTTGTGTGCATTGTATACAAACACACACACACACTATACAAACACACACTGTATTATATACACAGTGTGTTTGTGTAGTGTATGTGTATATAATGCAGTGTGTGAGGGGGCATTTTTTATTAAATTATTTTAAAAAAAAAGTATAATTAATTCTTATTTATTTTTGTTGTCCCCCCTCCCTGCTTGTTACCTGGCCAGGGAGGGGGGATATGACAGTCCCTGGTGGTATTGGCTGAGCTGGGGGGGCGGGCAGCAAGCGCTTACTCACCTCCCAGCAGCTCCTCCAGCTCCCCAATGCAACTCTCGCGGCCAGCGTGTCGCGCGGAGCGTTGCCATGGTGATCCATGGCAACGCTCGGACGGCCGCGGGTCTCGCGAGAGTTGCATTGGGGAGCTGGAGGAGCTGCTGGGAGGTGAGTAGGCGCTTGCTGCCCGTCCCCCCAGGACCGCCGGGTTTGTAATGAGCCCGGCGGTCCTAGGAGGTATTATCGGCAATATCGGTATCTGAATTGGCCGATACCGATATTGCCGAGAATAACGAATATCGGCGATTATATCGGTAAAACCGATAATCGGTCGATCCCTAGTTACTACAGCCCTCTGTAGTGGTTATGGTGCTTGAAGTGTTCCCTTAAAACAAAAGTTCTTACTTAATGTACTCAATATTTTGACAAACATGTTTTACACCATATCTGGCACTTGGCAACCAATCTGATAGGAAATAAAAACAGAAGCACAAATAGATAACAACACGGGCATAGTAGAAATTTACCTGTTTGCTGATGAGAATTTCAGTTTCATCCTGTGTTGTATTCCTGTGTTGTATACAATTTTCAGTGTATTTTCAATATTACCTCCACAAAATCCTGTCATATTTTCTTTATAATTTGCTCCATCAAAATGTAAAGTTTGATTTTATAACAAGACACGGAGGCTCATATTGCATATCCCTTTCTTTACTGTCCACCAATAGCAGCAAAGAATACAAACAGAATGAAAAAATAATGAACATACAGTAACATAAGCCCCTCCCCGCTCAGGTCCCAGTATAATAGGCAGCACTTCCCTTCCATTTCCCTCTTTCTTTGCTGCTCCGATACAAAGATAAGTACATGTCACATCTTCTCTCTGATTTACTTGTTTATTACCTGCTATTGATAATATTATTGATATCCTTGTATTACACTGTATAGGTTTTATCTGTTATTGATTCTTTTATTGTCTTCTATTTATTTTATTAGAGATTTTTTCTTATTTGTTTTCTCTGCTTGTTTGATGCTGTTTTTCTGTGAACCCAGGGTCCAGACCTCCCCTGTTATTTTTTGTTTATTACCCCCCTTTTCACTTGACCCTGTTCTTGTGTTTTTCCTTGTTATTTTCCTTATCTACCTTATTTCCATCTTGCTGTTACCTCTCCCAGTCCCTTTGGCGCCCTTTTGAGCCCATTCTCTGCTTTGTTCGGCTGTTTTTCGTGCACGAATTAAGCCCATTCGGTTGATTCATCACGAACATATGCTGTTCGCTTTTCCCCCAGCAGATAGCACCATTCGCCTGTTTGCCGCGTTCGCCTAATTTTTGCACGAACTGCTCGTTCATCTGTTTTTTTCTCCTCTTCATATATATTAGTTTATCTATCTCCACGAATTTGTTTCTTTTCTGCCAAACGTTCGGTTCTTCAACTTAGCGAATTTCACAGTATTTTGCCGGGAATCTCGCGAGATTGCCAGCATCCATTTTCTGACTTCCTGTCTAACTCCCTACTTTGTGTGTGCATGTGCCACTGGTCTGGGCCCTGGTGAGATCTCTCTTATACCTGTTGCTTTCAGGTTTGGGTGACTAACCCATACTATTCTGATAATCTAATTAGGGATTAGGTCTGGTTTTATTCTCCATTATGCCTAAACCCAGACTACCTTCTGGATACCCAACCTCTGGGGAGACTGATGCTCCATTTAATTTGGGTGAGAACCCTGTCACCTCTGGCACTCCACCCACCCTGGAAGACAGAACTATCCACCCTGAAGGGGCACAATTCTTAGCGTTACAGCGCTCAGTGACAGATGCCATTATGGCAGCCATGGAGTCCATGTCATCTACCCTCTCACATACTATTTCCCAAGCCCTATTGCCACGTCGTTCATACGAGCATTTCTCTGGCTCCACAACACCACTATCGCGTCCTGCTGTGGACCCGCCGGGAGAGGCACCCAGAAAGGCTACCCATAAGTCCAAACATCCCTCTGCCTCCAGAAATTCTATGATTGGCATACCTATGGTTGCCCCAGAAAGCGTGTCCCATCCACGCAAAAGAGCCTTTCCACGCCAGGCAGAACGGGCGCGGCTATGGAAATGTGTCAGAGCACAGTTAGAGAGCGGCTCCGACTCAGATATCGGGTCAGGTGAGGAGGCTAAGATTGAGTCGGACAGTGACTCTGATATGGATGCTGCAGATGTGGGCTTTGACATCCTTCCCTCTGCTCAGGCAGAGACGTCTGGAGGTGATACAGGGACTAGGCACCCCGTGGCTGCGGGGTCCGCCCTTGTGGACCCATTGGGTGTCCCACTCTTCAACCCGGATGACCTACACTATCCGAGGTCGGCAGAGTGGCTCCCGGCCGACCACGTTGCCACGTACCTTGAGAATTGGGTACGGCCCCCTCTTAGCAAATTGGCACGTAACAAATTGAGGGCAGAGTGTCCCAGGCCTGTGGTGCCCAATAAAGTATGTGACACTCCTGAGGTGTCCCTGGACAGTGAAACGAAGGACGAATTACGATGGTGGATCCTCAATCTGTCCGCGTGGAACGGCAAAGCGATCTTCGGCTCGCTGCCAGAATTCACCATCGACTGAGATGCGAGCCTCCATGGCTGGGGGGCCCATTGCGAGGGAGTTTCGACAGGAGGCTACTGGTCGGAATTCGAATCCCGGCTACACATCAACGCACTGGAGCTCCTGGCAGGCTCCTTTGCCATCCGCAGTTTTGTGAGGGACTGTGCCCTGGCATGCATCTGCCTCCACATGACCACCTGGCCTGCACAACGTTCAAGCGTACTGGTGGTCACGATATCTTTCGGACACCAGCGACTGGAGATTGGACACGGACGTGTTCTCCAGTATATCATCTTTTTAGGGTCCCTTTGCCATCGACCTCTTTGCATCCCAGCTCAAAACCCAACTGTCACGTTTCTTCAGCTGGAGGCTAGATCCGATAGTGGAGGCAGTAGACGCCTTTCTGCAAGACTGGAGCGGAGGCCTCCTGTACGCTTTCCCTCCATTCTCCATGATTCCGAGCTCGCTCCTGCAAACCCACAGACACTGGGCCGAGTTGGTCATGGTGACCCCCTTCTGGGAGATGCAGTCATGGTTCCCTCAAATGCTCGAGATATACAATGGACTATCCCCAACTACTGCCTGAGTTTCACGAACTGCTGCTGGACCCGATGGGTCGATGTCACCCCCTCCTGTTGGAAGGCTCCCTTCCACTCCTGGCGTGGCGGATCTCCGGGGACCCTGGGAGATCCAGAGAGTTTCGGAAACAACAAGACTACTGTTGGCAGATGCGTGGGCTCCCGGCACTAGACGGGCATATGGGTCAGCTTGGCGAGCTTGGGCTGGCTGGTGCCTGGCTAGGAACGTGGATCCCGTTTCAGCTCCTGTAACCATTGTCCTGCAATTTCTGACTTCCCTTTTTAAAGCAGGGAAAGTTTACTGGACTACCAATCTCTAGCGGTCTGCCATCTCTTCGACTCATCAAGGCTTTGACGGATGTCCCGCGGGGCAACACCCCTTAGTGTGCCGACTCCTCAAGGGCTCTCGATTCTCCCGACCACCCAGGCCTCGCTATTCCATGACCTGGGATGTCTCCGTTGTTTTGTCTTTTCTCTCATCCTGGCCCGCTAACTCCGCACTCTCCCTAAAACAATTATCAGCCAAGTTAGTTTGCCTGCTCTGCCTTGTCTCCTGCAAGAGGAGCTGGTTTTATCCTTTCGTCCTCCTTCCCACCCGGTTTCTAGCACCACATTGTCATGCTGGGTGAAGTGGTTATTGTCTCAGACAGGCATTAATACCGCGGTCTTTAGCGCCAATTAGGTCAGGGGGGCCTCGGCCTCTTCGATGCTGACTGCAGGTGCGTGTCTTGAGGATCTCATGAGGATGGCCGACTGGTCAAAGGAATCTACTTTCCGGGAATTTTACTTTCGACCGACCCCGCATACGTTTGCTGCAGTAGTGGACCAGCTTTAAACTTGCAATATGAGCTTGTTATAAAATTGCATGATTTTGCTATTACATGACGAAAACTCATGATTTTATTAAAGACACGGAGGCGAGTATTGTCCCACCCAATATTGTATTTCTCACATTATGTTATTATTTCCTACCCAGTTTTTTGTATGTTTAGACAAGATACATCAAATGGTTTGGTATGGTAAGTGGGGCCTGTGTCATAACGGGGTTTTGATTATGTACCTTGACTTGTTTTAATCACTATGAATTGTGGGACTGCAGATTTATGTGGGGCTCCTGTTCCTTTATGTTTTAACAGCCTGATCCGACCCTGTGGAATGCCATGCTTCAGCTTGTGAGGACTCCCCCCGCTGATAGAGTTTGGTTCTACATTCATCCGGTTGTGCTTCCCTGTTGTTGAAGTGTTATCCTCTTCTCAGCGAAAAGTTCTGCGTTGTCTCCTCATTGGACATTATCGCTGTTCTTGGTTATTGACGTTGTTTTTTAGTGTCGCATCTTCAGAAAGAGGAAAATGGAAATGGAAGGGAAGTGCTGTCTATTATACTGGGACCTGAGTGGGGAGGGGGCCTATGTTACTGTATGTTCATTATTTTTTCATTCTGTTTGTATTCTTTGCTGCTATTGGTGTACAGTAAAGAAAGGGATATGCAATACTCGCTTCCGTGTCTTTAATAAAATCATGACTTTTCGTCATGTAATAGTAAAATCATGCAATTTTGGTTATACTGTTGCAAAAATATGCTACTCAAAATGGTTAATATATCACAAGTTTAATCAAATTAATTGCAAATTGAGTGTATCATTTTTTTGCTTACTTGTTTTGTTTTTGTAAATCCTACAAAGGTTTCACAGTTGTATATCTGTGATTAATATACTAGTTCACTAACAATGATATATCCCTCTATTAGATATTAGTATTTGAAAAACATTCATCAAATTAACTTTTTTTCCCCCTTTGCTTCACCCTGCACTTCAGCCAAAATTAAAATGAACAAATATATATTGCTATATATTTCAAAAAGCAACAAAAACATTTACATTTCATTACGATGACACTTAACTACTTAGACATATTTAAATATTTATATCCAAAAAAGCAATGCTGCATTCTTATGAGAACTCATTTGTCTAATTCAAGGAACATTCCAAGATTGTTGTAGTGGTTATGGTGCCAGGAGTGCCCTGGCACCATATACATTTTGTGCATATTTTTGTTTACATTCACATTTGATCTATCATTCTGTGTAAGGTCCACTGAGATTCCAACAATGTTGCATTTTATCGGAATAAATTGGTACTTTGAAGGATGCACAGCACCAAAGCTGTCTGTTTAATAAAAAGTGTAGGCAATTTCATTTCTGGCAATTCGCGATTATGGAACTCAAGGACCAGCACCGGGAGTATTAAAGAAAGTCCATTTTTAAAATTTATCTAACATTGCCCAAATTTTGGAGTTGCGGCATAGTGGTAGAACTTTTTATCACTTGAGAAAGCCTATGGGTGAAAGGCGTTGTGATTATATAGAAGGACTTTTTAAATCTGTTTTTATTTTATGTGATATATTACAGTAAACATTGTTTTTACCATCAACATTTTATGAGCATTTTTAATGTATTTTTTTCCTACATTTTATTTTTTAATCTAAAAGAACCTCCACAACTACCTACATAATATCCTTGGTGGGGATCATACCACCCAAGCTCATATCATTGAGCAAAAGGTGCTCTTGAAATTGTGAGTAGATGTTATATATATATTTTTTTTTTTTAAAGTACAGTGAGCACTATATCTTGTTTTATTCCTATCATATGCCGTTTACATTGTGAAAATCAAAAGAGGACAGCTCCAGATTTATCCTTAAGCGGGTATTGTAATGCTCAGAGCCTTATCTAAGAGCTGAATAGAAGCACTCTCCTTTTATTTTATTTTAATTTTACCTAAAACATTGTACATACTGGATTACACTATTGGTGGTTTCTTTTGTGTTTTATTTCATATGAGACACCAACAACAGAATTCCTCATCTGCACCACAGTTTTGTCTAGTTGAACACAAAGGAGGATAACAGACTGACCTCCAAATAAGCACTATCTTCAAAAGGTTCATGTCTCCAAAAAATAAAATCCTTTTCTGCTGGGACTCTTTATTATTGGTATATCTCAATATTTTTATATATATATATATATATATATATATATATATATATATATATATATATATATATATATATATATATATATATATATATATATATACACACTGCTCAAAAAAAATAAAGGGAACACAAAAATAACACATCCTAAATCTGAATGAATTAAACATTCTTCTGAAATATTTTGTTCTTTACATAGTTGAATGTGCTGACAACAAATCACACAAAAATAAAAAAATGGAAATCAAATTTTTCAACCCATGGAGGTCTGGATTTGGAGTCACACTCAAAATTAAAGTGGAAAAACACAATACAGGCTGATCCAACTTTGATGTAATGTCCTTAAAACAAGTCAAAATGAGGCTCACTAGTGTGTGTGGGCTCCACGTGCCTGTATGACCTCCCTACAACGCCTGTGCATGCTCCTGATGAGGTGGCAGATGGTTTCCTGAAGGGATCTCCTCCCAGACCTGGACTAAAGCATCTGCCAACTCCTGGACAGTCTGTGGTGCAATGTGACGTTGGTGGATGGAGCGAGACATGATGTCCCAGATGTGCTCAATTGGATTCAGGTCTGGCGTACGGGCGGGCCAGTCCATAGCATCAATGCCTTCGTCTTGCAGGAACTGCTGACACACTCCAGTCACATGAGGTCTAGCATTGTCTTGCATTAGGAGGAACCCAGGGCCAACTGCACCAGCATATGGTCTCACAAGGGGTCTGAGGATCTCATCTCGGTACCTAATGGCAGTCAGGCAACCTCTGGCGAGCACATGGAGGGCTGTGCGGCCCCCCAAAGAAATGCCACCCCACTCCATTACTGACTCAATGCCAAACCGGTCATGCTGGAGGATGTTGCAGGCAGCAGAATGTTCTCCATGGCGTCTCCAGACTCTGTCACGTCTGTCACATGTGCTCAGAGTGAACCTGCTTTCATCTGTGACGAGCACAGGGCACCAGTGGCGAATTTGCCAATCTTGGTGTTCTCTGGCAAATGCCAAATGTCCTGCACGGTGTTGGGCTGTAAGCAAAACCCCCACCTGTGAACGTCAGGCTCTCATACCACCCTCGTGGAGTTTGTTTCTGACCGTTTGAGCAGACACATGCACATTTGTGGCCTGCTGGAGGTCATTTTGCAGGGCTCTGGCAGTGCTTCTCCTGCACAAAGGTGGAGGTAGCGGTCCTGCTGCTGGGTTGTTGCCCTCCTACGTCATCCTCCACGTCTCCTGATGTACTGGCCTGTCTCCTGGTAGCGCCTCCATGCTCTGGACACTACGCTGACAGACACAGCAAACCTTCTTGCCACAGCTCGCATTGATGTGCCATCCTGGATGAGCTGCATTACCTGAGCCACTTGTGTGGGTTGTAGACTCTGTCTCATGCTACCACTAGAGTGAAAGCACTGCCAGCATTCAAAAGTGACCAAAACATCAGCCAGGAAGCATAGGAACTGAGAAGTGGTCAGTGATTGACTTGGAGTTACATTGTGTTGTTTAAGTGTTCCCTTTATTTTTTGAGCAGTGTATATATCTCTGTATAAGATTATCTAGTATTTCTATATTTGGTGCAGTCTGATTTTTTCATATTGTGCCTGTGGCACCCACCAGACTCACCTTCATGCCAGGACTCTGATATTAACATACTCAAGCAGGAGGAGGGAATGGGCTGAGCCCAGAGAATCCAGCAGACTTACCTGCACGCCATCACCACCAGTCTCCTGGAGCTGAGCCGAAGCTGAGCCCGGCCCCCATGCAGGAATCCAGTGGCTCCTACTCGGTTTTTACCTGCTTTTACCTCGATTTATGAATTTAATGCGTTCTCCAGGATGTTTCTTATTGTGAAAAATTTGTAAACCGAAACACGGTTTCCCATAGGAATGCACTGAAAACCAATTAATCCATTCTGGAGGTCAGAAAAAAGTCAAAATGAGCTGGCATGGGAACCAACCCACAATGCAGAACACACAATAAAAGGCTTGCAAACGACGAAGCTCAGCTCCCTACCTAACCACAGCTTGAGAAATGTACCAAAAAGTCCCAAAACCACTGCAAACAATTTCCAGAATGGCTCCAAAACTCGATGCAAAAGCCGCTCCAACACCTCCACACTCGACACCACGTGCTACCCACAGTCTCCAGCATGCAGGGGGCGGTGCTATAAACCTCCCAGGTGTAATGCATCCTGGGGAAACTTGCTTTGTATTGCAAAAAAAAATTGTAAACCGAGGCATTATTTTCAATCGATTTTCATTTGTAAACCGAAAATTATGTTAACCGAGGCGTTTGTAAACCGAGGTCCCACTGTATTTTATTTTTTGTACATCTCTTGTTACTCTACTCTCTTCTCTTCAGTCTTTAAGACTCCCTCTCAGTGCGAATGCCTATACAAGCCAATAGTATTGTATTGTCAAGCCTAGCACTGTGGTGATTTGTTTCTTATTATACTACTCTCCAGCTACCTGTCATTTTGATCTTTAGCATGTACTTCGTTTTGAATAGAAAGGAGTATCTAGCATGTTTCCTACATAACTTAAAAATGAGGCAGACATATTATGGAGTTTACACTCTTGTCTATATACATTTATATACATGTTGATGCACTTCTTGCTTATGCGAGAGTGCTACTGTAAAAAAGAGATTGACAAAAAAAAAAGAGACACCTGATTGTCCTGATACAGAAGAATGGATACAGCAGATGTAGGGCTGGTGCCCGGCAGAACCCAGATAAGTTGTTAAACTGTGCTAAAACAGTTATACATCTTACCCTGAGACAGCACACCAGGGCACTCCTGGCACCATAACCACTAAGGCTTCCTACTGGAGCTGCTAATTCTCTTGAATTAAGCTATAATTAACTCTACCTCTTCTATCTTAGTCACCCAAGCACATTACACATAACACACATTATCAGCCAGAGCATTACTCACATCAGCAAGGGACAGGAACCACATAAGTCCCTTTTTGAGTATTCTTTTTCCATTTACAAAGTCTCCTTACAGACATGTTCTTAGAACTGGTTATTTATGTGAAGATTAACATGTTTTGACCTTTTACTTTATGATCAGATTGCTTTAGAATCCCACACTGCACAGACAGTGACATCATCCATGCAAAAATTCTCCATGCAGTCTGGGGGCCATAATCTCTGCCAGATTGTGACATATATGCCCCAGTCTGTCCCAAATTAGTGAAAGTTAAACTCCTGAGCATTACCTGCCAGCGTTATAATGAATGTTAAAATACCTCCTGTCTAGATCTGTAACTTTCACTAATCTTTGGCAGGAATGGGATTTGTATGTCCTATTTCTGAAATTACAGTGTTTTTCCAATTGACCTCTACAAATGCCCTATATACACATTAGCCTCTACATTAAACTAATACACACCCCTAAACATCAGTCCCTATATTTATTTATCAAATATTTTACCAGGATGGATACATTGAGATTTCTCTCATTTACCATAACTCACTACACTCACACTAAGCACCATGTATTTACAGTGTACTGAAAATGTACAAAAGGCTAAAAATTTTAACAGGTAGACAGATTGAGTCAGGTTGTGACAATCTGACATAAAATGTGAGCATATACTTTTTATGTCATTTTATGTTCTTTGTTGAAAATGAGCTTTCCCAGATGACTATTACAATACAAACCAGGCGATGTTATGTAGTCTAGAAGTTGAAAGTCCTTATAGTTTGATTCCACATGAAGTGATACACACACCTGGCACTATTTAGAATATAGTGGTACACAATTCACAGCCCATAGTTATTGGTATTTGTAAATAAGCTCTTGTGGTTTATTTTGACCCACAATTTCTTCATTTTCAATAACTAATTCTACCACCTGCTGAGGTCAACTGTGAAGCGGACAACTTGTGTATGTAAATATTCACCTGGGCTGGTGGAAGGACAATTAGTATTTCTTAGGTATATGTGTACATCACACAATACATACACGTTTTGAAGTGATATAAAGACAATGTCTTTATAGTCTGGAATGGGACAGAGGAGATATTTAAACATCTTACCAATGTGAATGATCTTAACTTGAGATTCCCTGTTGAAATTTGCAAAGTGTCATTGAATTTCTTGGGTGTTACCCTCACATTGTTTTCTGAGTGGAATATTTCAACAAGATTGTTCAGGAAGCCCACAGCTACGACAGTTAACGTCCGAAGGGTATCCTAACTGGACAGTATCTGAGACTGAAACGCAACTCTCTTGGCTTGACCTCCATAGATAAGCAGTTGTGCTTCTCAGATACTGTGCTACTGGGACAAAGTTTCAAAGACAATGGTTATTCTACCCGCTATCTGAATCAAGCAAGAGACCATCCACAATTGACATACTAACCTTTAACAGGATTCCTCTGAATTAACATCTAAGAGCAATTCTCTGGTTAGATATATTGGAAAATGTGATGCGGGCTGGGAGTTGATGAAAGCCACTATAGATAGATATTGAACTTTACTTTCCCAAGGACAAACATCTTAAAGAGGTAATCACTCCCTCATATTTCCATCACAGTTCGAAGAGGAAGAAATGTACAGGGCATATTAGTCCCTAATCATTTTCTCAGTTCTCCCACTCCATAATCTAATTGTTGGAACATTTCAGGGAGGAAGATAGGTTATAGATACTTGTAGATTTATCCAATGTGGTACTAAAACAATGACTACTACTGATAACAAGGACACATTTACAGAAAAATGTGTTATATATCTTCCGACTTGTAGCAGTGGTATAAAATATGTAGGGAAACATTTTGCCCACTCCAGGGCCAGACTGGGAACAAAATTTGGCCCAGGCTCGGCTTGTGAGGTCCCTGTGTGGATATGAATGCTCCCCTTGGACAGCGTTCGTCTATACGAAATGACGGCCACCCAGGGGAGCACTCATTAATTACTTCCCTTGCGGTTTCACACTTGTGTTGCGAGTGCGAACATTCTAAATAATTGGTGTGACCGTTCCTCTGGAGCGCTGGGGAGGTCCTCGTTCGGGAGACGAACGAGTTGGGAAACAATCCAAGGAAGCACTTTGCGGTATGTAGCGAGGTGTGAACATACTAACCTAACATTCTAAAAGGGGTATCGGGGTGGTTCCCGTTCGGGAGGTAAATGGATTCCCTTCATGGAAGACCTCCTGAACTGGGAGAGGGCACAATAAACAAAACAATGCAGAAAACACCCATAATATAAAGAAAGGCAATTCACGGACAGGCAATGGTTCCGCCACAACAGTGTGTGTGTAGGTGATCTAGTGTGTAAATGACCCAGCGTGTGTATAGGAGATTGTGTGTGTGTGTGTAGAGGATTCAGAAGGTATATAGGGATCTAGTGTGTGTATGTGTGTGTGTAGATTAGATGATCCAGAGTTGGGTAAGGGATCTAGTGTGTATCTGGCGTGTAATGTGTGTAGTGGTGCAGTGTGAGGGGTACTGTAGTATATATATATATGTATAAAAAAAAACAAAAAAAACAAGAGGGCTGCACTCACCTGAACAGGCATACATTATAGGGTACTGCTGGGGCCAAAATATACAAAATATAGACTCCAGCGCACTCGCTTACTCACTAAACAATGATTTCAAATCTTAGAGATTGTAATGGTTTTATTTAAAAACACCTCACCTAGGCAAAAAAATAATGGGGGTTTAGTTACATTATATGATCATACATTGCATAAGCCTGCCATAACGTCAATGTACCCCATTCTTGGCAGGTCCTACTCTAGCAGCCTAATGCTTGCTCTTATGAGATTAATCCACTTACTTGGGAAATACTTCCTTACTGGGACTCTCTGCAAGTCAAGGCTAAATAGGGTCCTGGAATGAGGCACCTGTGACAGGGAGGGGTGCAAAACCAAGGAGCTGGCCTGGACTCCCAAATATATAAAAAAACCAAGATGGCTGCACTCACCTGAACATGCCACCTATATGCCGATGGCACCTAGATATATCTCTCCTCCCCTGGTCTCTCCACCGCTGTCCTAGAGCGCATCACCCATTGACTTTCTTCCATCTCTGATTGAATGTCCTCTGGTTTAGAGAGACTGAGTGTCAGAAAACGTATCTTCTGATTTTTCCTCCTCATAATAATAATCCTCCGCTTTTGCTCTCACTGCAAGTCGATGGTACCCGCATCAACCCGTCCTTGCAAGCTCATTGTCTTGGTGTTATCTTTGATTCGGGCCTTACCTTTATGCCTTGAAAATACATCCTGCAAGTGTCACAGAACCACTTCAACCAAGACAATCAACGGGTAAGGCTGTTATTGTGCTTTCTATTAGAAACATTCTGTAATTGGGCCTGTTCATTCTGTACAGTGCCACACTCACTGACTGTGAGCATCAGCTGAGCTCTTTTCAGACCTGTTTCTGCTCAATAAATCATCTAGCTCCTCCTGCAGGAGAAGCCGCATGCAGCAAGGTCAACCAGTGGACCCACGTAAATTGTCAAGAAATTCTAGGACAATTTGGCATTACCACTAGTGCTGATTGGTTGATTAAGATGCTTGGAGTGTTCCTTTTGAAGAAAACCATACATTTTGTGAAACATGAAAGTGCAGGACTGGATATTATGCTTGAAGTGTCTTTTCAAGATGTGATGCTGAATCATTTAGAAAATAGAAAATGAATAAAACAGACAATACTTTTTTGATGTCTTAAAAATATTATCATCCATCTCATAAAAACAAAAAGGTAGAAACCAATTTGTTCCCTTTATGAGTGTTCTATTTCCATTTAAATGATGTATTCATAAAAATGCTTCAACAGAGAAAACATATTTTTTTGTGGAAATTTCAAGTTGGCGTCTCATCTTACACATCCGCCTTAGAGATGTTCAATAAAAATAAGAAAACAACATATTTATAAAAATATAATATAATATTATGGCAGGGCCCTCTTCTCTTCCATACAGTAAGCAAGTTTGAATTGCAAACTTTATGCATGTATTATAACAATCACAAAGAAATAGGTGAGCTAATTGCTAACATGGATTATTGGTAATACACCATAGTTTAGTTTACCATAGTTTAGTACTACTGTGAATGGGCATTATGCTAACAGATACTTACCAACAATCTGGACTGGGTAATCAGAAAGGGGTTGACATGGCTGCCCAGAAAAGGTGTAAAGGTGAGGCAAGAATTAAAGCTAACACAAAGACAGTGTCAGGGTGGCGGTCGGACGACCGGGACCCAGTATACCTGATGAAGAAAGTAAGAGTCACAGTGTGGAAGTGGATAAGCAGGGTCTGGTACAGGGTAACCGCACGTCACCTGGTATTGAGCACCAGCGTTTGTGTGGCCACATACGAGGACCCTGATGCAGCTTCGGCGGATCCCAGAAACGAGGAGCTTGGAAATAAACAGACCTCCCAGGAGCTGAATAGGGAGGCTCTGCAGCAGGAATGTATCCAGTACAGAAACAAAGTAAGGCTAGGATAGGCACCAAACATGAAAACAAGACAGAACTAATAGAACCCAGAACCAGAGAAGGATAGGAAGCTAAACCCAGAACATGTACACAATACAGAAGGGAAACATTAGCAGGACAGTACAGCACTGTACATAGACTGGGAATACAAAATAAAAAAAAGATGATATATAAGGCAAAACAAGAGGAGACAAAACTAAGTACTATATATGTCAAACATTGGAGATTTAGACATACATAAATGGCCAAGATGTATGCAGCCCACCAACTGCGGCAAAGTACTCCAATAAAGGTGGGAAACTAACTGCCTAAATTTGCATGACTAAAAAAACAATAATTAAACACACACAGCACTTACCTGCAAGAAAAGGCAGAGGACTTGTAGCAACTGCCTGCAGGAACCAACTGAAACAAAAGGAACGGGTGTGGCAACATAAAACAAACATTTAAAGGAATCCAAGAGACTGGGAATTCCAGGAACGGAATACAGGAATTAACCCAGAAAACCCAGCATAAAGAAAACCAGACATGGAATAGAAAACCAGAAAAACCAAGATAAACTAAACAAGAATTTTAAAAAGAGTACTGGATACCAGAAGCCATTGCCAGAATGATCCGCAGCTAGGAACAGGATGTGACAGACAGCGAACTTACAAGGATGAGGTGATTCGCGTACCATTGCAGGGAGAGTGACAGAGGAGGATTATTATTATACGGAGGGGAAGATAAAAAACTCAGTATAAGACAGATTGACTTTGAGAAAGTAAGAGGACATCCATTATAGACAAAAAAGAGAGGCAACTGGGGACTCTTTGTAGGACAGCAAGCGAGAGATCAGGGGAGAAGAGGAATATCATTGGCATACAGGTAGTAGTAAAATCCAAAAACATTTGTTTGTTTGCCAGTATAAAGAGAAAAAAAGAAGGGAACTGAGGACAGGATGACAAAAGGAGGTGCTACCAGAAAAGAAGAGACATTAAAGGATCACTGGGAGAGAGAGGACAAGAACCAGGAAAACACAGAGTCACGAAGGGTAATGGCAGGATGAGTTTGGAGAAGTAGAGTCAAAGTCAGTAGAGAGAGCAGAGATTCTATGGAGTAATGGCCTCTATATTTAGCCTTGATCATAAATATGCTTTAACGCATATTCTGGATGCTTGAATGTGAGTACAATTCTTTTCTAACCTTGGAGGATGGTGTCTATGTTTTAAATTTGCTATCTGCTCTGATGTCAATTCAATGTTGACTTCTATGTTCGTTTTCTAATTTTTATTATTATTTCCCCTCTTAATCTAATCAGGCCTATAAGGGCTGGTGCAAGGATTTTTGTCTACACAGGCGAAAGGTGATTTTTGCCGTCACCAAAATTAATCTATACCTGTGTGTCTATTAACCCTCTTTTTGCCCATCTTACCTTATCTATATATATATATATATATATATATATATATATATATATATATATATATATATACATACATACATATACAAACACACTGGGCCATAGACAAACACACACACAATGGATCTTACACACACACACATTTACAAACTGACATACACAAACACTGACACCTTTAGTCCAATGTACTATTTGCTCATAAACCTATTGTTCCTTTCAAAATTTGTATGTCACGAATTCATCCGCTTATAAAAATGTGATTAATGGAATTTACTGTACAGACAGGAAAAGTTGTGCCTAACAACATTACTGTCCTGACAGGAAAAGTTGTGATGAGCAACAATCAAATCCACAGCAGGGTTTGTGCTGAGCAACAATTATGCAAATGGGAACCTGGTAACTGCCTTTGGCCACGGCTATTCCTGACTGTTCCTTGGTACGTTAGTCCGCCCATTCTAAGGTCCGGTATACGTTACCTATCAGTCCTCTGTGTTACACAATTCTATGTACTGGATCATACTGTAATCCTGACATTCTCATAGTTTGTCTCATTTATTGTTATTGTCCTATTAATATTATTGTAAAGCACTGCATAGTCTGTTGGTGCTATATAAATAAAAATATACCACTACTACTACTATTACTGCTACTACTACTACTACTAATAATAATCTACATAACTGGGCTAATATGGCAAAGTGTTCTTCTCTGACACATGATTATGTTTTTACAACCCACTGTCAACCACTAGGGGTCAGAAGAGCTGCATTTCTGACAACCCATTAATTTAAGAAAAAAGAGGAATCACAGTCGGCACTTTTCTTTTTTTTTATTATTAATAATTTTTCGTTATTGTTTTCTTTTCCACTCATTCAGGAATTGATTATAAAACAGAATGTTTATAACTACATTAACAAATGATGACCTGTTTCACACTCATCAATATTCCATATTAACCTTCATAAGAGGAATAATAATAACATACATATAAATACAATATACATTTTTCACAAGATCCTGTACAAAACATAGGACTTTACATTTAAGACAAAATCAATCTGTTGTCGAGGAGGAGCATCCCGGGGAGTTGTAATTTCAACCAGTATAATGTTCAACGCTCAGGGTTGATTAGTGTTATCTATATCTAATTTATTTGCCCATTCTTCCCATATTTTAGTTGTTTTGAATCTATATCCTATGGTTTTGCTGATATTCTTTTCAATTTTAATTTGATATATTAACTGTTTATATATATTCAACCAAAGTGGAGCTTGGGGATTTTTCCAACTAAGCGCAATTGCAATCTTTATGGCCAAAAAAACATTGTATAATGAAAAAACATAACTTGTGTTTTTTAGATTTTGGCCAATTCAGGTGCAAAAGAGCTATTTCTGGAGTAAAATTAAAATCTAAATTAGTATGGGTTTTTATAACAAGAAATATATTTTTCGTATGTAACATATCGGTGGGTGTTCAGGATACATTTTTTTAAATCTTGTCAGTACTATGTAATACTTTGAATTGATTTTCTGCCAAATTTATACAGTGCATTACTTTTTTAACCTTTACCCATACATCACACCATTCTTTCATATTTATAGTATAAATCAGGTCACTTTGCCAAATTTGGAAAACTGTGAATGTTTGTAATTTTCCCATCGTATTCAACAGACAAAACTATTAGATAAAACTTTTAGACAAAACTTTGGATGTTAAATCATAATTTAGAATATTGAAAAGTTTGTCTGTTATATCTGATTTATCTCTCATTAAATTGGCCATTATATAATTCTTTAATCTTTGATAATTAAACATTTCTGATACTGGGAGTTGGTATTCGTGAACAATCTATGGGAAGGATTTAAATTTTCCTGCTGTTAGAATGTGCTCTATTTTTAAGATGCCCCTCTGTCTCCACTTCCTAAAATCCAAGTCCATGATATATTGTTCCAAAGAACCTAGATAAATATGTTCAGGAATCTGGTTTAATATCCCACATTTATTTTTTAATCTAATCCAGAAACCCATAAAATGATCCAAAGCAGTGCTAGAGTTTCTGGCCATTCTCATCTTATTTGAGTACTTTGCTTGCCATAGCAGAGAGCTCAGATAATTTAGATGACAAGATTCGGTCTCTATTTGATTCCATGCTTCTTCTTCTTGTTTTCTTAATTGAGCATTATATATATGGTATATCATCCTAGCCGAGAAATAATTTTTAACTAAAGGGAATTCAACTCCCCCATTTAACATACTTTGCGCTAAATATTTTGATTAAGTCTTGTTTTTTCCCCCCTGCCAGATGAAGCTTGTAATACTCTTCTGGATTGGAGCCACCAATCTGAAAAATTTAGAGGAATCATCCTAAACATATATTGCCATTTGTGGAGAATATATGAATTAATTATATTAATTAATACCTTTTTTCATCCAAGTAAAATTATATTTAGATCTAATATATTGTTGTAAACTGTTATCTAAATTAAGATCCATTATTGTTGATTTCTCAATGTTAATTTTGTAATTTGCTACTTGTTGATATTCTTCTATCTCCTTCATAAGATTTTCTAATGACCTATTCGGCTCTGAAATTGTATTCAGTAAGTCATCATACATATTCATTTTTTATTCCCTTTCTTTACATCTATATCCCCTGATGTTCTTATTATATCTTATGATGTTAGAAAAGGACTCAATAGAGATGATGTAGAGGAGTGGAGACAGGGGGCATCCCTGCCTAATACCATTACTAAGCGAAAACCAATTTGAACATACATTTGATCCCACTACTCTTGCTGAAGGTGTTGTGTATAAAGCCATGATGGCCCGATGTATCCATTCCAATCTTGAATCACAAATTGTTGTAATGATTGACTCAACCACTAGAGGTCAGAATAGCTGCATTTCTGACAGCCCATTCATTTAAGAAAAAAGAGGAAGCACCGTCAACACATTTCAATTGCATCTTACATTACCTCCAGCAATGCACCAAAATGCAAAATTCACAACACAAACTTACTTGATGAATGATATTGTGCAAAATAGACAAACAAATCTTCTCTTCTCCAAGGAAAGAAATCTCTCCCATGTCGCTTAAATCATAATTTGTGAGGATTAAAGTCATGTTTTTGGGGGTTTTTTGTTTTGCCTCTAACAGATTTTTTTTTAAAATAACTTCAAATCTCTTGCTGCAGGTTTCACTGAGTTTCCCAGACCCCTAAAGCACTTTAGCTTGCTGAAAAGTTTTCTGTGTGATGTATGTGTACTCTTGCTGGTCCTGTTACTTCCTGGTTTGGTTAGCTCAGTGGAGCTAAACACATGAGGCTCAATTGAGGCAGCAATTTCTCAGAGCACCTGCCTTTTCATTGAGCTGCATTGGGAAGTCTGTAATTAAACAGCCACAGAAAGTCTGGGGGGAGTTAGTAGGAGAGGGCTTGTGAAGGCTACAGACAAAAGATCTGCAGGTTTTGAAAGCTGCTTTTAGAGTAACCCCAAATGAAAAAAATACATAAACAATTGTTATTTATTTTGTATTTAGCACTGGAATGTCCCTTTCAGTTCATTTTTTTTTTTTTTTTTTTTACTGATTTAGTCTAGCCCAGATATATAGATGGACTTATATAGCTTACTGCTATATTAAATAAAGTGTAGGACTTAATCAGTTAAAATTATCTCTCTTGATGCAAAGTTGTTTTTTTAAGAAATCCAAATTATTGTAAACATGGCATACGGATAAAAGAGACATTTTATACATAGAGATACTTAAAATTAAATAGTCCAGTTATAGATTATTTTGTCCCATTTAGCTTCCACAGAAATTTAGGGAGGTTATAAAGTGAAATGGTCCACTTCAAGGTTCAAGGTATTCTGCATCCAGAGAGCACTGCTGTAACACATGGTTATTTTAGATACTGTATCTTACTTACCAGCCAGAAGAAGTCTAGACATTCTCCTCTGACCTTTCATTAATAACGAATTTTTATGCCACTGAACTACAGCCCACTGTATATTAAAGAAACATGCAAACGTTATAAATACATATGCATTCAGGGAATGAGGGCTGAGAGCAGGGCCGGCGCTTCCTATAATGCGAACTAGGCAGCCGCCTAGGGCGCCATATAGGAGGGGGCGCCCTGCGCCCCCATCGCCGGCACTTTAAATTCTGCAGCCGCTCAGACGGCTGCCGCACTGCCTCACCTCCCCGGCACTGTAGCGTGGTGGAGCTCCTTTCCAGTCCGCGACCCGGACGGACTGACAGGAAGTGCACACTGAGAAAACTATAGGGGAGGGGGTGGAGAGAAGAGTATAGGGGAGGGGGGAGAGAAGATTATAGGGGAGGGGGAGGAGAAGAGTATAGGAGGGGGAGAAGAGTATAGGGAGGGGGGTGGAGAAGAGTATAGGGGGAGAGAAGAGTATAGGGGTGGGGGGGAGAAGATTATAGGGAAGGGGTGGAGAGAAGATTATAGGAGGAGGGGGGAGAGAAGATTATAGGGAGGGGGGAGAAGAGTATAGGGGAGGGGGGGGAGAAGAAGAGTATAGGGGAGAGAGAGAGAAGATTATAGGGGGAGAAGATTATAGGGGAGGGGGGAGAAGATTATAGGGGGGGAGAAGATTACAGGGAGGGAGGGGGAGTGGAGAAGGTTACAGGGAGGGGGAGAAGAAGAGAAGATTACAGGGGAGAAGAAGAGGAGAACACGGGGAGGGGGGAATAAGAGGAGAACACGGGGGGTGGGAGATGAGAACGTAGGGGAGGGAGAGACCACTAAAGGAGGGAGGGGGCGGTGGAGAGACCACTAGGGGAGGGGTGTGAGGAGAGACCGCTAAGGGAGGGGGGTGGAGGATAGACCACTAGGGGAGGGTGGGGGGAGAGGAGAGACCACTAATGGAAAGTCGGGGAGAAAAGCAGACCACTAAGGGAGGTGGGGGGGAAAGGAGAGACCACTAAGGGGCAGGGGAGAACTCTAAGGAATGGAAGGGAGAGCTCTATAGGACAGGGGGCAGGACGGGGAGCTCTTTCACACCACGCGCACACACACACAATGCATCCCTATACACACAGAAACACAACATGCTTCCCTTACACACAGAGAAACACACAATGCAACCCTTACACATAAAGACAATGCATCCTTTGCACATATACACAGAAACACACAATGCATCCCTTACACACACATGCAAACACACACTGCTTCTCTTACACACACACAGAAACACAATGCATTTCTTACACACACTCAACGCACCCCTTACAGACACACACACTGCATCCCTTACATACACAGAAACACACTTTGCATCCCTTATGCATACAAACACAGATTCACACAATGCATCCCTTACACACAACAAGAAACACACAATACATCCCTTATACACAAACACTCACTGCTTTCTATCCCTTACACAAAAACACACTGCTTCCACTACACACAAACACACTGCATCACCTACACAAACTGGTATCCCTATACACTACATTCCATAAGCACACACATTAGATCCTCTACAGTAACACATAACACATCCCCTACACACTCTACTCCCTGTGAGCGAACTCATGGGTGGAACATGTAGGTGGACTTATGGGTGGGCTTTATGGGCATACTCACCGTCGGGCCCTGGGGCCCAGACCTTGAGCTATGTAAGAGGCCCCAAAAAATGGAGCTGCTTCCTGTGCTCCCAGAACATTGAATTTTGTGACCACAGTTACAAACAGCCTCCAGAGATCCTGTTCTACACCAGACCAGTGGAGCCAGACTGCAGCCAGAGCCCATCACCATCCTCATCTGATTGTAAGTAGGCAATCTAGTATATTATTAGTGACACTAATCTCTAATTTACCTCACATTAAATGGACACTATAGTCCCCAGAACCACTGCAGCTTAATAAAGTTGTTCTGGTGTCTATAGTTTGTCCCTGCAGGCTTTTTTAATGTAAACACACACTGTGTGCAGCACTGGCACTAGTTCATATGGCAGATCATATGGGTGGGGCATTGCGATGTCCTTAAAGGGACACCGTAGGCACTGTATCTGCTTCATCTCATTAAACTGGTTATAGTGTCTGGAGTCTTCTGGTCCCATCTTTTCTATCAGCATTAAACAGTTTTTAAAATGTTAATGTTTTAATGCTAAACAAGAGTCCCCGGCAATCCATCCCCTCTGTGCTGCTTTGGCTAATAAGGAACTATTAGCCTGAGCAGCAATGGGCAGCTGTGATTGGCTGAGAGTATCAGCTGACTGCTTTTAGCCTGTCAGAGTTCCAACTGACGGTATGAGTGGGTATGACAACAAGGAGGTGTGTAATCTCTGCCTTAGCTACACATACTGAAGGGGCCGGACTGTGGGTGGCCAGGGACTCTTATTTTGTGGCCTACTGCACGAACATGGTGCAACACAGAATGGAGGGACAGTGCCAGGGTACTCCAGGCACTATAACCAATTCAAAGAGATGAAATGCTTATAGTGACTACAGTGTCCCTTTAAGGGATTAAAGAGAAAGTGACACCAGATTTTCAAAAGTATTTTGTTTGGTAAGCCATTAAGAAATTGTTTCTATCTTCCCGTGGTTAGACTGTGGTTTGTCTTTCAAAGTTGTTGGTTTTTTAAACCACAGGTTTCTCTTGCATATCTCTAAAAACGTTATTTCATAAAGAGTTATTTTATGAGATTTGTACCAGATGTATCAGTGTAAATCAGGTCTGTAAAATGAAACTATTGAACAAGTGAAAAAAAACAAAAAAACATAAAATATTGTCTCCATGTTATTTGTTTCAATAATCTTAACAATTGCTTAGTGTTGGTATTTGTACATTGTACAAAACACCTCCAAAATCACACAAATAATACAATCATAAACCCAAATGTGAAGTGAAGCACTATTACCTATGTGTCATATGTGAAAAATTCCAAAATTTGCATAACGTAACTCCAATGACTTCTATCAATTTTTTTGTCTTGATAGCAAAATAAAAGTAACTTCATAGTATAACCTCTTTTGCAAAAATTGCAACCTCACATTGGATAGTGCTAATAAATTAGCTAAAACTTGAAAACTTTTAGGCAGCACTCCCCTCATAGAGATACATGACATACAGATACAGGTATATCTTCTTCACCACCAGCTCTAAGAAAAACATGGAGAAAATTGATATTGGATAAAACTGTACGACAGTACTATGTTATATATAAAAGACGTGCACTCACATGAATAGAGACACTTAGTTTTGCTGCTTTTTCTGTATCTAACCCATACCATCTAGTTGCCTAATCCGGAATCATGCAATTCAATCAAAGCAAAGAGAACTCTGTGGTAAAAAAAAACTTTCTGTTCCTCAAAATATTAAAACATCCAAAAACTCATTTTACAGATATCTGGCTACTGAAGTAAAGAAGCCAGATATTGGTGAAACTTGTTTTTGGCTATGTTACATGCTGGCTGATGTGAATTATGTGCATAACTGGCATCTAACACCAGCACGCACAACAATCTGGTGCCAAACAACCAATGGCAGCACAGCCTTAGCCTCCCCTTTGTCCATCCTCCCTGCACACCCCGGAAGGGAGGAGCAACATTAGACAAGGAGGATCGGGCTGAAGGCCTTAGTGATGGAACACAGGTGAGTTTTAGCATTTTTTTTTTTAAACTTGGGGAGGTGGACTACCTCAGGGTTTCTCTAACTAAAATCACTGTTTCATAAAGACTTGTTTTTGATTGGAGTAACCCTTTAATGCATGTAAGACAGTAAGGGATCGGAATACATAAACAGGGTTATTCAAAAACTGAATCATGCCAAAATAGCAAATTTATTAAAATGTATTAAAACTGTTTTTAGTTTGACTATCTTAGCTTTAAGTTAGAAATTCACTTAAATACCACACATCACACTGTCTACTGTCATAGCCTATGTTATTAGTATGAAAAAAGACAGTAACATATTATAGCCTTCAATATACTTGTTGAATTATTTTTATCATTGTTTCATAGGAATTATACACAGTCATATCCCACAACTTGAGATTGAGGACAAAATAAAATAAGTAGGCCCCCAGAACCCCTAAGAACCAGTTTTGAGTTGACAGCTCTTGGTTTCTTTTCACTTACGCAGTTAGAAGTGGCTATTAATTTCCTATTACCCCATATGCAAGAGGTTAGGGTTAATCATTAAGAGAGGGAGTAGGCCAATGTCCACCTAACCTGATGGTTTGGAATGGGTTCTTAAAACCCCAGGACAAGACAAAAGATAACATTTTCAAAATGTTATAGGACCAGAGGTTACCCAGCACTTGTAGATTTCATATACATTTTCAGATACATGCCATTTTTTTTAATCTTGATTATATCCTGTGTAGTAGAAAAGAGAGGCAATCATTCATAATTCATAAATTTTATTTTCTTTTTAAATAGGAAATTGCAAATACCCTCCAGTATCTCCTAATATGACACTCAACATCAATCATGTTCTGGTTGGAACCAAGGCTTACTATAATTGCTCAGCAGGCTACATAAGAAACCCAGGAGTTATGGGATATTTTAATTGTATAAACATTTCAGGAGAAATAAAATGGTATAACACAAAAGGGAACTTTTCCTGTAAAAGTAAGTGATGATCAAATATTTCTTATTAACATGGCATTTCAATGAGTAATTACTTACATTTACAAAGACCTCGTGAATAGGTTTTCAATTATATGTTGTTTTTAAAGTGGATCAGTCACATGTGGGAGTTTGCAAAACCTGACAGCTAACTAACGCTTTTTCTAACACTTATGCAACACATTTTATTACAGGAAAAAACCCAACACAATCTATTGATGAGCAGAATACTCAAAGAGGTAAAAAAAGAGCTTTTCCTGAGCTTGTTTTTTGTCGTGTGCATGGTTATTGTTGTATGTAGTTAATTCCTTCAGATCTCGTGCATTGCTTCCTTTATTCGGAAGCTCTAGAATAGAATCACATCCCAGTGTTTTCTGATTATTCTCAAGTTAACACCATTATGGACTGCATGACAGTCTATGTCACCATACAGTACAGGGCTATAATGTCCGTAGACTGTCATGCATTAAAAAGTACCAGCAGGGTTAAATCCCTTGAAAACATGAACTAAGTGACAACGGATTGCCACTAGTTTATAAGTTGGAGCGTCTGGGAGGTTAACACTTACCCCTATAGGGGCTATGGAACAGTAGGATACTGTGAAAAGTATTTTATTATGGCCAGCCTAAGGCACACCTTTGCAATAATCATGCTGTCTAATCAGGATCATGATAAGCCACACCTGTGAGGTGGATGGATTACCTCGGCAAAGGAGAAGTGCTCACTAACACAGATTTAGACAGATTTGTGAACAATATTTGAGAGAAATAGGCCTTTTGTGAACATCAAGCATGTCAAACTCAAAGTCTAGCACGGGCCACATAAACAAGGTTTAAGTTTATGTGGACCGCAAAATTAAAAAAAAAAACAGCATCCCCCTCTACTAAATCCCAGTCCCCCCCCTCTGCTAAATCCCAGTCCCCCCATATACTAAATCCCAGTTGTCCCCCTCTACTAAATGCCAGCACCCCCCTCTAGCAAATAAGCAGACTCCACTCACATTGTTGCTACCAGTATGTGACTCTGGAATCCGGAGTCCGGCCTCTGGTATACCTGAAATGGCGCCGTCTGCACCCTGTGCCAAATCTGATCGTCCCGCTACGTCTTGATGTCACGTCGGAATGTGACATGTCATTGTGTGCCTCCATGCACCTCCAGGTACTCCACTGTCCACACACACTCACTGACAGGCACACACTGACAGACACACACACACACACACACTCATAGATAGACACTCACAGACAGACACACTCATAGATAGACACTCATAGGCAGACACACACTCACTGACAGACACTGACAGACACACACTCACTGACAGACACACACTGACAGACACACACTCACTGACAGACACACACTGACAGACACACACACACACACACACTTACACATTCTTGCACACACATACTTTACTTTATTGCTCCCTACCTTTTGGAGCTGATGTGGGGTCCTTCTATCTGCTCCTCATTGCTCCCTCGCACGGTTTAGTGTTGCCGGAATATGACATCATATTCTGGTGCCCGGCTTCACTACAGACACGTATTCATCACGTATTCATCCGCACATAAAAATGTGGTTAATGGCATGTACTGTCCTGACAGGAAAAGTTGTGCCAAGCAACATTACTGTCCTGACAGGAAAAGTTGTACCGAGCAACATTACTGTCCTGACAGGAAAAGTTGTGTGGAGCAGTAATCAAATCCACAGGAGGGTTTGTGCTGAGCAGCAATCATGCAAATGGAAACCTGGTCAAAGGCCAGTTACAACCAATCAGATCCATAGAAGGGGTATTTAGGCCCAGTTCTCCTCTTGCTCAGTGCCCTGTCGTGGTTTCATGCCTATGGTTATCCGAGAGTGCGTTCGTGATCTTGATTTTCTGGTATTTGACTTTGGCTTTGTTTTGACTTCCCTTATATCTGGTATCCTTGACTTTTGGCTTTCCCTCATGTGTCTGATTCTGTGTCCCTGACCTCGGCAAGTATGTTGACTATTCTTGGAGACGTTAAGTCCAGCCATTCTAAGGTCTGGTTATATGTTATCCTTAGTCCTAGGTATAACACTGAGCATGCACTTGCGGCTCACTGGGCCGCAAAGATGTCCCTTGTGGGCCCGCAGGCCATGAGTTTGACAAGCTTGGTGTACATAGAAAAAGTCTTAGATCTTTGAGTTCAGCTCATGAAAAATGGGGGCAAAAACTAGTGTTGCATTTAGAATTTTGTTTAGGGTATTTATTCTATGCTGGTATACTTATTTAGCCATATGCGTACTCATATACTTACATACCACTTTTTTATTACAGAATACAAAGCAATACAACCTGAGCTGCATGCCCAAGGAGGTAAAAATAAATAAGCATATCTTGAGCTGTATATATTTTTAGTCATATGTATTAAACTGGTGTTAACCTCTTCAGATCTTTCACAGATTGCTTCCTTCATTCTGCAGCCCTAGAAAGGAACCAATTCCTGGTGTTCTCTGACTGTTCTTAAATATTTTCTGCAAAGCACACTAGTTTTTCAGGCTAGGCGCCTTGTTAATTTTCACTCCAACATGGAAATTATATTGGCAAGCTATATTGTCACGATAATTGGGCCCTGGGTCTGCATATGGGCTAAAAAAGATAACATTTAAAGTACAGGTAGTTCCTGACTTTACAAACTAATTGGTTCCAAAGCCTAGTTCATAAAGTGAGAGTTCATAAAGTAAGAACTAATTTCCCATAGACCGCAATGTAATAAACATGGGTTCCGTTCCTGACCAACAAATATTTCTATTGAAAACCTTAAATATGAAATACAAATACAAGATAAAAGCATAGCAAATACATATATGTTGTAAGAACATTAAAAGAAGACATACCATATTGAAATCTTCATCAAATCATCATCAGTTATCTTCCTCCTCAACCACATGTTGCATTTGTTGAATGTAGCACTGCACTTGTTTCTGGTTCGTTTAAGATGCTCCAAGTGTCTTTTTCATCCCCCCCCCCCAGCCCCTCCATGTGTCTCATTCCCCCTCCCAGTGTGTCATTACCCCGTGCCAACCCCTCCAGGTGTCTCATTACCCCCTTCCAGATTTCTCATTACCCCCTCCCAGCCTTTCCAGGTTTCTCATTTCAATGAGTAATTATTTACACTTACAAAGACCTCGTAAATGTAGGCCCTCCAGGTGTCTCATTCCCCCTCCCAGCCTCTCCAAGTGTCTCATTACCTCCTCCCAGCCTTTCTAGGTGTCTGCTTCCCCCTCTCAGTGTCTCATTGGCCCCTCCCAGCCCTTCCAGGTGTCTTATCCCCCCCAAAACCCCCCGCCACATGTCCCATTCCTCCCACCCAGCCCCATCCATGTGTCCCATTTCCCCTCCCAGCCCCATCCATGTGTCCCATTTCCCCTCCTAGCCACATCCATGTGTCCCATTTCCCCCCTTCCCATGTGTCTATCCTCCCTCCCCTATTGTACCTGTCAATGTGTCTCTCCCCCTCCCTTCCTATACCTGCCAATGTGTCTCTCCTCCCGCCCCTTCTGTACTTGTCCATGTGCGTCTCCTCCATCCCCTCCTTTCAGGTGTCTCTCCCACCCACTTGTCCTGTGCCTGCTCACCATGGTACAGTACTCGGTCTGTAGTCCACTCGGTCACGCTACAACAGCGGCAGGAGGGGAGCAACTCAGCACAGCACTCCCCTCCTACCAATCACCATCATTGTTACTTACCGTTCTCTTCTCCTGGCCACAAACTCTGCTCCTCGGTCTGCATCCACAGAGCTCCGCCAGCACAAAATGGCGGCAAAATAAAATGGCGGCGGGTCCGTGAAGCATTCCTAAAGGCGGGAGTACGTAAAGCGGGAGTAAGTAAAGCAGGAAATGCATGTATAGTAAAATAGTGCTGCAGAAGATATCATTTTAATTACTGTCTTATACAATGAGCTAAATTGTATATTGTTACTTTATTGCAAAAATAGCATTTTAATTGCATAATACACACCTGCATATACACTCATTTCACTAATTATTATTATTATCAGCACTTATATAGCACCAACATATTTCTGCAGCACTTTACAATTATAGAAAATGTATATGAGGAGGACCTGCTCGAACAAGTTTACAATCTGTGAGTATTTGCGGTAGGCATTCAGTGTCTTGTCCAAGGACACTTACTGGTCAGGTGGTCAAACCAGAATTCTAACCTGACATTAACACTGCTCTAACCAGTCGATATAACTGCCTACACACTCATACTTAGTTCACATACTCATCACCAAGCTCATACTTACATTTACACAAATTCTAGTGTCACAGACATGGTGTGTGAGATGGTGTATATGCTAGTGTCAATTCTAATACATTTATTCATCTCTCATCTAAGTGCACAGTAACACACATCTCAAGGATACTGAACTCACATACAGACATTCATTTCACAAACACTAACACACAGTCATCTCACATTATCATACTAATAATCTCACAAACAATCATGTCACACATTGAGCTCACACTAATGGTTTGGACTGGGCTAGAGGGTAGGAAGAAAGCCCTCTAATGCCTCTCTAGGTGCCCCATAAAGTACCCACACAGCTCCCACCAAATCACAAGCGCAGTACTGCTTTTATTGTGCAGTGCCATATGTGTGATTTGGTGGGGGTGGTGAGGCCCTGTGAGTGGGGCCTTGCGTGGGGTGGGGGGGTAAAGCTTGCACATCCTAACCTCTTGCTCAATCACACCTGAGAACTATCATTGTCTAGATAAGTGTGCTGCACTGTGAGACCTGCGTTGACAGTTTGTGCTTTCAACGGCCATCCCAAACAATGTAATTTATGCAGAGT